AGCAATAACGATACAGCAATAAACATGCAAAAATATGCATATTGACGGATAAATTTTATTCAAAAACCGACACTGTAGTTTCTAATAGTTGAAAAAAGTGAATGTTATACAGATTCCTGTATCAGAAACGGTTTCTGCCACATTTTCTTGCACAAGAAGATTAAATGTCATATCTGTCGGTCTGTACATTATAAATTTTGACCATAATTCAAAGAAGAATTGAAATATCGAATAGTGTCCAGGGTGATCCATTTAAAAAATAGAATTTGAGTGTGTCACGCCTTTATGACCAACCAAGCATAATCAAATTTATTACTGCCTAGGAGTCATGGAAGAACCCTACAAAATTATTGCATAAAGCCGTTTTCAATACCTTATAATATTCTCGGATCGAACGTTTCCAGACTTATCAGCGACCCTGTATATGAATAACTCAGTTAGAAGTGTTTCAATGGAAAATTCTTTTTACAAAAATTAAGAAGGTACAATATGTCGTTCAACAATTTTGCCAGTGTACGGCTCAAACGTTTACTTGTCAAATTTCTTAAAGGACACGATCCGTATTGAACATGGATATAAAAATACACATCACCTTAATTTATACAACGTCTAAAACTACCCTCGAGTCGCCCAACCGTGGAAAAAATTGCATCGCCTTCTCTTTAATATTCGTACGTATAAATTGGGCACCAAAGTGCTTTCAGCGGATGTTTAAATCTGCGGTTGCTATGGATAATTCCTTGTTTAGTGACCAACTCGGGCAGGATTTTCTGAATCGTTTATACTGAGCAATATTATAAAAAAAATTAGTGGAATCTATTAATAGAGCACTTTAGAGGCCAAACGAGTTGAAGGCTAAACCCGAAAACATGTTAGTTTTCGCTTTTTATGTATTAATCGAAACGTCACTTAACTATGATTTATTCGCCGGACCTCCTCCCCCTCTCCCTCTGGGTTCTTGATTACGATCGGATGGCGGTGGGCAGGGTTCACGCATACCTAGGCCTCAATCTCGTGCTCTTTGTACTACCTCCCTGACTAGATTCGTCTGACCCCTCAACGTCCCTTACACCATCCCACACTGGAGATGAACCTAAGGATGCTGGAATGAGCAGCAGTTCTACTGTAACCATTTCCGGCCAAGAGACCCCCAACACGGATCGTCTTAGTTGGACTAGAGCGGGACATTCACAAAGTATGGTGATTCTACAAACCCATGCTGTGTTGGGTGTGGGGGTTTTAAGTGGAAGAGCCGGATCTGGACCATAAAACACCCAATCGGGTCAGCTCATTGGCTTTGTCGTGTCCTTCCGTTCCAGCGTGCCCTTTGACCCGTAGCAAAGCATAGGTCTTATGGAGGCAGTGTACAACCGCAAGACCGCCGGCGAGGATGGTTCCCAAAGTTGCCCAATTGCGCGGCGACTTTGCCAGAAAGCCCTATGTGCTTTCTTGGCTTTGAACTGGACATGTTTGCCCCAATTCTCCAATTTTTGGTCAAGTGAGATTCCTATTGCTCTTCTAGTATAAAAACGGTCACGTCAATCACGCAAGTAGCCACCCACTGCAAAACTTATTCTTTTTCTTCGCATAAGCTAGATAGAGACGAAAATATAATAATATATTTGTGTACACCTCACAGGCGACTGCTTTTGCAGGGGGCGGCTATCTGTTTCTACACTCCCGTGCTATTTCAAGAACACCTCCAATTTTCAGAGTCAGTGAAATACCTAGACGTCGTCATAGACGGTGTTATTGTGGTGGTATTGACGTACTCCCCAGCTCAGGTTCGGTAGGGTTACTAACACCCTCCTTTAGGAAGGAAAACCCATAACTGAGCCTTCCGCGTTGGCGATTAGGTTAGCCTGGTCCTTTTCCTCAATTCCGAAAACTGTTAACCTCCCTTCACCCTTCACGGATGGGTGGAATAGAAACCAGCTGCCTACCTTTGCCCAAGAATTCCAAGGTGCCCCCGGGACCCAGATGGCAGCCTTGCGAAGCCTAGGAAGGTAGCCTTCCAGCACTACCTTTAGGTGTGCAGCCTCCCACAGTCGTGGGCCGGTCGGTGTTGAGTTATCCAACCTCTGCCTCCTTTTTTCTCCTCCTACCAGTTTGCCCGCCTGACAGGAGTTAGTTCTAGGAGCCTGCCTGTGGGTCAGGGTTGGATCACGGGAAGTGGATGGTTTGGAGCCTGGCCTTCTTGCTCCTCTTCTGCTGTGGTTTAATATTTTGATCAGTATCCATATCAGAAGAGTGTAAATTCGTCCCTCTAGCTCCCCACCCACCACGGATTCCAAAAAGGGAACATTTATCCAAAACGGCAACTGGTACTGTACTGTACTTAAACGCTTAATTCATTTGTAAAATTAATAACTTAAAAGAAAATTTAGAAGAACACATTTTGGTGTACGAAATTGAATTGACAACCCTACCCAAATTCAGGAAAATCAACCCATATTAAAGGGCTACCGTTACACCGTTCAAAGAAAAGGGAAAGTTCCGGGCATCTACATTAGGTAGGGGATGAATTCAAATAGTCCACAGAATCTGAAGAATTAGACAAATTTAAGCAACCGGAAGGATCTCAACAATCGGAAGAATTTCGGAGAAAAGGAGGAATCCATCGTAAGAATCTGAAGGGTTTGACAAATCAAAAGAATTCCAAGTTTATTGAGAATCCTGATGATCTGAGGAACCGAAAAGGCGAATCGGAAAAATCCAGCAAAGGGAATATTTAGAGACGAGGAATATTGTAAATAACTTAGAAGAAAGTGAGAAGTTCCCAAAAGATCTACAGTGCGCAAGTAAAAAAAAACGCATTCGCCTGTGGTGATCATGAAAGATGCCATTAAAGAGACACTAAGGATAAACCCAAGGATAAGGAGGGCATAGAGGAGGAATAAATTGATCCACGAAGTAGAGTAGAAGATACGCTGCGAGCGACTTCCGGTATAGCACCGTGTCAATGGTGAACGAAATATCAACAAGAAAAGAAACAAAAATAAAATATCTAAAACTCTGACCATTAAACCGCGTAACTGCATACGTTGATGGTACACTGGAAAGAGAAGGGAAAACCTGACTATTTAAACCTAAAGTAGAAACCCTGTTGGCTTCACGACGATTGAACTACAATAAAATACCTTATGAGTTATGACGCTTCTTAACCTGAGGTAGCATCCAGTCTGCTTGATTGAGGATTCCCCTAGGTCAACACTCGTATTCGTGGTATATGAAGTTTACAGGAAATGACAATAGTCAAACGTATGTAAATACATTTTTCTTACAGTCCGCCCAGATAGAAGATATTTCCTTACTGGTTTTATATGGGTTCAGCTGTCCTTAGGTCAACGTTCGTTTGTTGATAATGTATTAATTAGTTCGGCGATCAGAGTTAATCAACTTCAGTGCGGCTTGGAGTATTTTACTTCGTGCGCATATACCTATTTTATGTTTTGCGCAATTGTAAAACGAAATTAATCTGCCGTCGCTAAAGTCTGCGAACAACGCAGAACACAAAAAATGTTACGAATTACCCAATGCGAATTAAAAATGCGCCCATTGTAATGAACTCTTAACCTGCCGCTGTGCTTTTTAAAAGTAAATAATTTCGTTTCTTCCGCATTTAAAATTTTAGCGAAAGACCTGTACTCTAGGGCGATTGTTGCGCCTCTCCTCGCCCGTTCCTGTATTGTCAGTTGGCGATTCACCCCACGCGTCCCAGCCATGCCTGTCTATCGTTAAAAACCGACTCGCAATTACTATTCGTATAATGTGGCAGATATGAAATGTTAATCGGTCTTGCCGCTATCTAAATAAAAAATAAAAAAATATTTTATTGCATTAACGGGCTCCCGTTACACTCTTCTTTTATTTTAATTATTTTTATTTATTCTCCCTCTCTTGTTCTGGGTCCTCAACAGGCTTTTTTTTTCATCCTAATAAACTTTACGCAAATTCTTCATACGCTTGTTAATTAATTATTAATTTAATTAATTTGCTATGTCAGGGTATCACAGAACATTCGTTTCCAGACTACTCACTCCTGGAAAACATGCCCTCGGATAAATCGCCCCTGGATTATTACCCCCAGAAGATTCGCCCTTGGAAAATTTGACTGCAGTATTTCGCTTCCAAGGAAAATTCGCCCCCAAAAACATCCCCATAGTAAGGTAACGTCACTACCATCGATACCACTCCAGCTTTCATAAGAACTATACTGCAGCATTACTTAACTAACTTCAACCCCTACTATAAATTGGAGTTTTTGTTGCGCTTTTTGTTAAGAATGACAAAAATCTAGATCCAAAACTTTTTTTTTGTGTTCAAATATATAGGCGAATTCACATGAGGGCGAATTTACCGGGACGAATACCTATAAGTATTTGGTTAATGAATGAATCTAATAAAATAATGAATCTACCGCAATCCCTGGAGCAATCTGCCCTTATGTCTTCAGTAGTATAACCCCTACGTCCTCCTTCTCTTTTAGACCCCTAGCCTATTGTGCCTTGTAGATAATCCGCCACCGCTTGGTAACACAATCAAACTAAAATTTTGAACGTAAAACTGAACCGATCTTGGTAAATGACCCGTAGGCAGAATCGATCCCAAATTTGATTTAATGGAGGCTTTGTTCATTCTAGAGTAGAATATAGGCAAACGCGTTCCGCCATGTAGCAATCCATCATCATCGTTATGTAACGTTGTTGTAACAACTTTTTCCCCTCGATATTAGTATAGAAAGAGCTTATCTTGATCATTTCTTTTACCACCCCTCCGGATATCAGACCTTTTTTCCCGTTTCTAATTAATTAAATATACATATGCAAATAGAGGGCACGGGGTAGGTAATTTATTTAAAAGTTAATGCAATATTTACGCAATCTCCTTTAAACTTTTTAAGGAGAATATACAAGACAAGCAAAATGAGCTTATCCATAATTAATTTCTCTTAAAAGAAATTTCCTGTTAAATACGTTCTCTCTCTTTTTTTCAGGAAATCGCCGCCATCCTCATCAGCTTCGATCGTCATACCGAATGGCAGAGCAAGGAAGTCAAAATCAGGTAGGTTTTCGTTTCGTGACATGTAAATTTTAACTCGCTTTCATCTACCGGGGACATTTTATCTTTTAAATGTTTTCTGTTATTGGAAATTTGCTGGCTTTTGTGCTTTTAAATTGCGCCTTTTTAAGCTGGAAAAGGTTAGGGGTGGTTTTGTGGGTATTGTCGTAAAAATATTTACTCTTTGTGGCTGACATTTATCAAGTGACATTTTAGAATAATTTAACTTTTTGTGTAATAATTGGTGCACCTAATTAGAGGGTTTTTGTTTGTAAAAGTTGCACAACGAATCCTTTTTATTTACGCCTTGTTTATTGACCCTTTTCGCAGTAACCAAAGTAAATTAAAATTCAATGGTCACTAGTATCAATCAATCTCAACAGATAGTTATACTAATTTTCAATTCACACGTATTACCTGACGGATGTCAGAGTGTCAGTCAAGTGTAAATAAGTGTCATTTGAAAGGGGATTCCCCGGTGACGTAACTAATGAGTCACTTTCTTTGTGGTACAAGGTCGTGAGCGTGAAATAGCAAAGCGTTCAGGCAATACAAAAAAAGCCTAACGATGAAATACTTGCATAATTGGAGTTTTGGAATTTTTCTTTTGGTTATTTGCTAGTTAAAACGATGGATTTCAATTATTAATTAATAATAATTGGACGACGATTCCTGTACCATTTCTTCTGAGCTGTGAATTTTGAGGTTTTAATTTTAGGAAAATATTTAAAATACGTTTCAGAACTTGTAAAAATTTTAGAATTTAATTTTATATCGAAAAATGAAATTTAGTTTTCTCTTTTTTTGTTCCGTCACGAAATTTCGTGGCCAAGTTTCAGATTCGGATTCTGCACTCCAAAAAAACGTGGATCAAAAAGCACAACATTCCTGGTAAAAATACACTCTGACTGTATTATAATGTACATATGTAGCCCACAGATTTAGATCACCTTGCGCAAATATGTAATTATTACATGATGGATGAAAAAAGGAAATTGGGCGGAAAACTTTAAGGGCTGGCGAGCAATCATTAATTAAGTTACAACCGTTCAGTCGTAAACGTAACCGTTGCCGAAAAAATCTTTTGATGTTAAAAAAACCGCGCTATTGAAAATTTTAATTACTTCGGTTGTGTGTTAATAAAATCATTTCTTCCTTTATATTCCCTCATACCAACCCGCCTTTTATTCAAATTGAAACAATCTAGCGTAAAATAAACATCGCATAAACAAATATTCGACTCCGTGCTTATTTTTCCCATTTTGTTTTTCAATTTTATAAAGTAAATATTACTTCCGGGGGTATATATGTATATATAAGAGGGATGGTTTCGCTTTGTTAAATAGCCATCCTGTTTCTTTTTTATTTGCGTAATAAAATACAATTCCTAACGTTATCTAAGGAAATTAAAACATAAAATCGATAAGAATGTTGAAAAAAAATTTATGGCCGTTTCTTAATCAAGTTTCCCTTTTTTTTCGCGAAATTGGAACGGTTTATTCCTCTTGTTTTTGCTGATATAAAAATGTATGCATAATTATGTTGGAGATACGACGGGGGGTGAGAGTGTTATTGTCTGTTTTATCGTAAATTTAATATCGGTTTTATGCAGACAATATCGCAGTGTAATTGCGGACGAAACCGCTTCCGGTTTATGTCGACACTTAACCCTGAAAGCCCATGTCCGAGTTTGATGGTTATGGTCGAAAACGTAGGTGGTCGTACACGTTTTTACGGCGGCGAAGAAAAAATAACGCGCGCCGCGCTCCGAAAGGAATGAATTGGAAAATTTGATAACGTACGCCCTTTTTTTTCTTTTTACAGGCCGAAGAGCGGCTCCATGTTGTTGTACAGTCGAAAGAAGGTGCGCTATCGACGGGACGGTTACTGTTGGAAAAAGAGGAAGGATGGGAAGACGACGAGGGAGGATCACATGAAATTGAAAGTTCAAGGCACGGAGGTAAATTTTATTTTGTACCTATCGTTTTTAAACCACATTCGTATTATTGCGTTTTCTATTTCTCCTCAATATCAATTACAGTACAATTCCATATAGTAGGTACTTACGTATTTTGTACAAGAAGAGCGAATAAAGTGGCTTTCGTTGAGTCAAAAAAGAGAACTAAGTAATTATGAGGGTAGTTAGCAAGGGCAACTGAATATGTTTCGATTTGTGAATGAAATTAATTACTGATCATTTGCAACATAATTTTTAATAAAAACTAAACAAGGGTGTGCAAGTTCCTTGGGAAATGATTACCCCAAATCCGCTTAACGTCAGCTAAAAGGAATAAAGTCTGACAAGATTTAACGCTTCTAAAAAATGGACGTGTTTTAATGATAACTCCTTTATTTTTTATGATAAAATTAAAAAAACTGTTTGGACGTTTTTTACAAAAGCTACAAAGCTATGAAACTCTTAGTTTTAAAAGGGGGTGAGCTTAAAGGGCTCAAACAAGCTAGTGCATTCTTGATTCTTAAAAAGGAGCTTATAGTTTCACTACCTGTCTGCTGTTCGGGCGCCTTTTAATTGATCGAGATTTCTGCAACGGAAAATCGTAGAACTTTCGGGTTTTCGGCACTATATTCGTACTATCGTGTTATTCCTGCATCGCTTAGTCTAATAGCTACCGATCTGTCAAGTCACACACAACGGCCGTTTGTCTGTTCGTTCGGGCGCCTTTTACAAATCGAATCAATACGGCAGAGTCTTGGGGTTTTCAGTATTCGGTTCGTACTATTGAGTTATTCCTCCATCTACAATCTACATCTCACTTAATTGTTGTATAGAAAATTGCCGGGAAGCAAAATTAAAAAAGCTAAAATTTGATACTACGACATATATTACCAGTAGTTTTGCAGTTATTTTAAAGAGGAGAAGAATGTTAACAATATTGCAAAAACTCTTTTTTCACTTTTAGCTCCAATTATTTCTAAACTGGTCAAACTTTTAAAATGCATTAATACTCATAAATAAAGAAAACTAAAGAAGCGTAACGACTAATTTTAATTAGGGTAGTGATTCGGGGGTTCTGGATTCTGGATTACGATAGGAGGGTGAACAGTGTCCACGCGTACTTAGGCCTCAAATTCGGGCCCTTTGTACTACCTCCCTGACTAGGGTCGCCCGACCCCTCAACATCACTCAAGCCATCCCACACGTGAGATGAACCTTAGGACGCTGGAAGGGGAGGCGGCTCTAATCGTAGCCATGTCCGGCCAGGATTCCCCCAACATGGATCGTCTCAGTTGGACTAGAGCGGGACATTCACAGAGTATGTGGTATGCCGTCTCGTCGTCTGTGTAACATCCTCTACAAGATGGTGATTCCACCAAACCCATGCAGTGCATGTGCTTGTTTATTGATTCGGGGGTTATTTTATACTTGAGTAAAGTAGGCATGGACGTTATTTTCATCACTACTGTCCCCTAGACTTTTTTTTAAAGAAATGTTTTTTTAATACTTTAAAATAGATTCTCCAGTGTTTTGTTATAAACTGCATACTTTTCAAGTTTTTCGTGAATAATCAATTGATCTTTTCTATGAAAATTTGAACCTTCAGGCGGGGTATGAATTTTACAAACAAATTTATAGTATCTGCAATTTTTGCTTAGAATTAATTTTTGTATCTATTCCTGTGGTGAAATACTCAAATTATAATTTCCATCCCCGAGATGGGGTGGAAACCATCCCCACGCTGTGTAATAGACTACCTGTTTTATAAAGTTTTGCAACAGTTTTTGGTAACTAAGCAATAACAAATAATAAATTATTTAATACTGTCATACGCCACAATAATTTGTATTTATAAAATACATATAACGCATAACAGTATTACTCAGTCACTCATAACGTCATTCTGGTTCCACCTCGATATCCCCGAAACGGTTTTTGCGCGATTTTCAATATTTTCTTTAGTTTGGAAAATATGGCCGACTGCAAGTGTTAAAATTGACACCCTGTATATCCTTAAGAATGTGTGTGCCAATTTTCAAAGCGATCGCATGTTTCTAAAAAAAACTTATCGTACACAAGGACATGCAAACGGACAGGCAGACAGCAATACAAAATTATAAACGATCTCGAGGATCGTTAATAATTTGCCATCACGTAGCTTAGGTATAGCTCTGGAACTCCAACCAAGAAAAAACTTGACGATTAATGTGTGTGATGATTTTTATTGAGACATTTTTTGAAATTTTAACAACATGCTTCTAGTAAAAACAAGCACAGCCTTTTGTTTTTGAGTTCAGAGCTGAGTACTGCTCGCGAGCGTTCCCCTCGAAAAATCTTTTCGGAGCATTTTTGAGAAAATTAGAGCGCTTGTCGCTCGAGCGGTTTTTTAGAACGCTCGACCCAGCTGTTTGAGTTATGGGAAAACGAGAGGAAAAGTTGCATTTTTCGATTTTTAGATGAAATTGTTTCATAATCTACCGTTTTCAAAATAAGTAGGTATATACGGGGTCAAGTAAAAAAGGTATCGGACCGAACCACTTTTTGTAATGGAATACCCTGTATATTTTAATCTAAGCAGGCAGCATATTAAATGCTTTTTTAAAACTACAGCATACAATGGATATTAAAAAAAGATTCAAGCGATTCAAAAAGATTATAAATATTTTTAAAGATCACAAAAGGTCCAAATTACACAAAATTTTTGATTTTTTAAAAACCTCTTTTTAATTTTCTTGAATTGAATTCATTTAAACAATGTGGTAAGGTGCGATAACATTTTTACTCGGCCCTGTATACTTATTACTAAGAAACTTTTGTAATTTTCAGATAACCATATTTTCCAAAAAAAACAAAGTTGTACAGCGGGTGGTATTTGTCCGAAATGCGGCAATTTCGCTCGCCCGCTCTGTAGATTTATTACTCGGCTCTTGGTAATCAATCTGGCTACGGCCCAGTCCATACCTATCTTATTATTAAAGATAATTGATTTTGCTCTTATGTAGAATCCATCTCAATAGTGAATAGACAGTTTTTATACAGGGTGTTCGGTTTTTTGTGCGGCCCTAAATTACATTTTTTCATACTGACCACCCTACATATTTTGGAGATTTTGAAAAATGGCGTAAACTAAATTTTGATGTATCATTTTATTATTTTTGTTGTATACATCTAGGTTACCATAGCATTGTTTTTTATGTGTCATTTGAAATTAAAAATATTTGGAACTAATGAAAATTTCCAGACAACGAAGAAGTTGTCGTTTTAAATAATCCCTTTTCTTCGCCGTAGAAACCTAGATGACTGCAATAAAAATATTTTCATGTATAAAATGCAATTTTGCAAAGTAATATGTAATATTGTTGTGTAAATTTAATTTATGAGGTGGACGTTATTTAGGCTGAAATAATACCGAATATAATAACGGGCCATCCTGTATGTGCGAATGTTAATTTTATTTAAATCTGGAGGGTTGTTCACAAATAAGCTCGGAATTGGTTTATTTCATCGGAATTTTGTATTTATTTTGTTTATTGCATCCATCCAGCAATTATTTGCCAAATTAACGTCATTGTACAGACGCATTAGGTGAATGCCAGTGCAGCATGGGTAGGTATTGTCGTTTATAGCTAATTACGAAAAATACAAATTGCTCTTTTATAATTGTGCTGATCATACTCTTAATTAAATGCACAGAGATACGGTAAGGTCAATTGTGTTTTTCTACGTAAATATCTTGGTTTTCCAATTTACAGTACCGTTGTAATTAGACAAGTATGTTAGAATTTTATCATTCGTGTAAATTTGTTTTTTTTAAATTGAAGAATGTAAAAATTACGTGTTAAAATGTTAAACATCTGGTCGACTGCAATTAAATTGGTTTTTGAGACGCACGTGTGTTTAGCGTTGGTAACAAAAGAAGGGTACACATTTCGTTTATGTATTAGAAATAAGAAAGCTACGTTGATTTTGGCGTATGTGTGTTCCAAAATATACAGAATGGTCCGTATAAAAAAATTAGTTTAGGGCCGTACAAAAAAACCAAGCGCCCGGTATCAATATATCGCGATAAAAAAAAGTGGTCTAAGAAATATTTTGCCAAAATCATTTATCTTTAATAATAAAAAAAAAGTTATGGAGCATTAAATAAATTTACTAAGTTCGAGAGCGGTCTTTACACTACACTACACTACGTTTGTCAGGTTACCACTAAAAAGCGTTTATTTATTTACTTATTTTCAACGTTTCCTATACCAGTTTCGTTAGAATGTTCGATTATGACATAAATAGTACGTAATTTTGATACGTAGAATTTGCCTAATTTTTATTCGTATTTTGGAGGAAGTAAATGTACCAATATTCCAGCATGGTAAATCAAAGTGGTATTATATACGTTTATCAAATTATTGTTAAAAGAATGTTTTATTTATATACATATCAACGTAGAACGTGAACTCTATGGCTTATATATAATCGTATTTTAAACGTAGAGTATAAAATTGGTCTACAGGAAAACGTATACTTTCAAAACACTTTAATAGTATATTAAGATACAAGTGTATAATCAAGTCTTTAAAGCACGCGCAACGAGTTTAAGGGCACGACGCAAAGCGGAGTGCCTTTAACGTTGCAAGTGCTTTAAAGACCAATTATAGACGTGTATCTTATAGTATTTTTTATTATACCTGCAGTATAATTTAAAAATAGGAAATTCAATGAAATCATATTGACGTTACACTCGAATACATGTCTAATTAAGTGGGCTGGGTGTTCGTAATTTCACGATTGCCATGGAAATGTCACTTGACGTTTGCTTATAAAAATCCGTCTTTGTGAATTAAACGATTTCCGTTGGAAAAGATAATACACCGTCCATTAAATCGATTGTTGTAAAATCTAAACAAACGTTGATAGGTGTAAAATCCAACTCCAGTAAAGCCTATTATAAAGAATATGAAAAATTGTCTCCATGGATGAATAGGAAGTTACTTACGAATACAGTCTTA